AAAATCTATCTTTCTAAATAAATATTTTCTTCTAACTTGTGGAAGTATGGAATTTCTTAAATATGTTTTTGGATAACAAATACTGTTAGAAGGTATTGTCAGGATGCTCCGGTAATACAGAGAGAAATCGTGGCCAGCAATGCAGATGCAATGAGAGTTTCCAGCATGAATGCTTTTTTTCTTATAGACTAGTATGTCATAAAGAAAAATTTTTGTTATTGGAAATTAGCTTGATGTTAGTATCTCACTTCAGATTCTGTCTCAGAAGAGAGAGTGTGCAGGCATTAATGTGTAGGTGGCTTCTCCTTTCAGCGCGTAACCTTTGATACTTACTACCTTAGATACAACTTTCATTTCTAGTGGAATGTAGTAATGCAAAGATTATATAGTGTATACATATTTTTTTAATGCAAAAATAAAATACATCATCTCTATAGAATAAAGTAATTTTCGTGTAGTTTTAGAATTTTCCATGAAAAAGTGTGTTGGCTCCTATTTTAATCACTTTTTCTTCTTCCTGTAAACATCAGTAACTAGAAGAAAAATTACTTGAGAAGCTTTTCAGTTTAATTCTGAAATATTTTCTGTTTTCTGGTTGAGATCACTTCTTTCTTCATCTGTAGAAGACAAACAGTGGGCAGGGTGAGAGGTGATGGGGAAATGACAGTTTTGTCATAAGCTTCTCTTGTTTTTACTTCTAAGCTTAAACTACTGGTCTAATAAGTGCTGAATGTGATTTCTGATTAAGGGAACTCGACTTTCTAAATGGTTCTGTATTATTCTTCATGTCTCTAAAGAAACAACAATTAAAAAAAAATCCCAACGAACAATAAAACTGATATTGAAGGGGAGCAGTGTATCAGTCACACTCTGTTGTCCACTGGGATCTCTAGCAGATCTGCTGGTTCTCTGCATAAATGTTTAGTGCCTCACTGTTCTACATAACATTTTCTTGAATGATCTGAAAGAGGAAGTAGAAACCACATTAATTACATCTGCAGATGATAGGAAGCTAGAGAACTACAGCAGCTGGAAGAATGACAAGAAATATAAATTGATCTAGAGAGCAGCAATGTGCAGGAATTCACAAAATGGGGCTCACGTTGGAAATGTGATCCAAATACGTAAGCATGTTATGTGTAAAATTAGCTTAGTGAAGTGTTAATGTTGAGCTTTCACTCTTGCAGTAAGATCTATTTATCTTGATATCCCACCCAGTTAGCTGTTTCATATGGTATCCTGATCTTTAACCACTTCTGCTGAATCTTTCTAGAATTGTTTGCAGTTCACTACAGTAGTTTTGGTGATGAAGTACAAATACCTGGACTATTTCTTGATTTAGTTGCAAGCGAAAACTAAGCAATACGTGGAAAAACAAATGACTCCTTTTTTATGATTTTTTTTTTCTCCCCAAACATTCAATTTTAATAAAATTATGTCTTAGTGCTGCGTATTACTCGCCTGTCCCAAATTCAGAATCCTTGGATCTAAAATTGTGCTATTTTGTGCATCTGCTCCTGTACCAGTTTGCTTTCCAATTTGGGATGCCAGCAGGACTCCAGAGCAAAACTGTCCTGAGATTTCATTTTCTTTAGGTTGTTTTACAAAAGGCTTGTGCTTTGCCTTGATGCGTTGGAAATGAAAGGGATCTGGGTGCCTTTATGGCTTATCAGTCTCTCAGCACTGGGCTTTTTACAGAGGCGAATGCCAATCAGTTGTAATTTGCTCAGATAACAATGTTACTATTGTTAGTTCTAACATTTCTGCTTGTTAAATAGGCGGTGTAATAGCTCGTTGTAACAAATAATTTCATGTTGGAGAAACGGCCTAAGAAGGCTTTTTTGGTACGCTTTGTATAACATTCTGTGTGAAGAAGGCAAAACAAAACCGCATATCCAATATCATGTTACTTTTGGCTTAATTAGGGCTGTATCTAAACATGCGATGTTTTCCTGCACTGAGGTGCTGGAGATACCTACAATGTAAGCCGAATAATTTGCTCCTACAGCTATCCTAAGTTAAGATTAGATGACTGGGGATGGAAAAAAGATACAGAAGAATACTTGTTTTGCAGAAGCCTTATGATTATTTTTTTTTCAGTTGCTATGTGAACACCTGCCTAATAAATTTAGGCCTCCTGGTGATGGGCTTGCTTCGCTTACCTTTCGTGGGCCTCCTAGAAATGGTCCACAGATGACAGTGTGTAAGACACAGAAAGCAGTACAGTGAACTTTAAGAAAGTATGTAATAGTCAGTTGCTTTGTATAAAGACTGAATTAAAGGCTAAATTAAAGACAATTAGACTTCGAAATGACCACCCAAAAAGATGACCAACCACAAATTCATTGTGTCCCTGTAGCAGGGTGGCAAATCTGTCCATCGCTTCCTCTCCGTTTGCTGACATGTTAGCAGCGGCTCATCAGGCTTACATGCATGTCTTGCTCCGCTCTTTGCAGAATGAACTCTCCCTCTCTCCATTTTGAGAATTCATCAAAAAAGATAGCATGCCCAAAAGCCTCATTTGGTTTCTTTCGGTGTATCAGCTTTTATAAAAAGAAGCACATTGGTTTTTTTCTTACAGATTTTCAGAAATTCTTTCGTGACAGAGGTCCATGAAGATGAGGATGTATTTTGCAGTTTCAAAACTCCACGTTGCACTAGCAGTGTTGGTTTATGTAATACGTTTAAGTAAGAGGCTGAACTGGTGTTTGTTTTTAATTACAATTGCTTTTGAAATGTCTGCTGTGTGTTTGGCACGATTTTGCTTGTGAGTGGAACCAGGCTTTCAGCTGAAATCTATTGTTATTCACTTCAACCTGTTTTAGGATTGTTCATATTTTATTCTTTTGTGCAGAGTGAACTGTAATTTGGACAGTGCTTATGTGTCCTGATTAAACATACTTGCCTATACCTTGTCTCAGTTGATTATATTAAAAGCATAAGACAAAAAAAAGTACTCTTCTTGCTATTTCCTCCACAGTGTAAGTAGAAGATTGTGTTGCTATTTATCTGTGCTACTGTGTTTCTCTATCTTTGCAGCTGGTATTCAAGTGTGGCATGAATTCTTTATCCGTATACTATGGTGGTGGCTTGCAAGTGATGAAAACCAGTTTCCTTTACACAAATGTCCGTCTTTGTTAATGCTGTCAAACAGCAAGTGTGATATCCAGGGAATACACATCACTCTGTGGGTTACTGATAATGTAATCTAATTTCCAAAAATAAATTAAATGCATCTTTTAATCTATAACCATCAGATGTATGTAAGCCGGAGGAAAACAACGTGTTAGAGATGGTACATCTGAATTTGGAAGAAAGATTAGTGGCTAATTTGAGATGAAACCTTTGGGTTTGCTGCATTTTCTGATAAATTAACCTTGCTGAAGAAGCTCATATGGTATGATGTGTTGTTGCAGTGGCTTCCACAGGTAAAACAGCGAAGTTGAAGGACTGTTACTTGTTTCAAACAATGCCTTTAAAACCTTTATGAGCAATTTTTACAAGGCCTTTTTCAGCAAAACCTTATGTATAGTAGTAGTAAATGTCACTTTTAAAAAAATGTTAACAAACGCTACACTTTTTTTTTTCATGCATGTCTTCTGTTTAGTTATTTTCCATGCCCTCCCAAGTAAAATGAACTAAAGTGAGGAGAAAAATGAATAAAATGGCTTTTCTGATTTAATAGGTGACGTGCCATGACACAGACTGAATTCTTCCCTAGCATGTGCCACTTACGTTTATATGTTTTTAAGATGTTATTGCTGTGTATTCAAGTTGAAAAGATGAGTAATAGTTCTATTCATAGGGAAATGCCACAACAGTTATGTCAATTCTTTTAATAATTACAAAATGTGAGAGAAGACCCCTTCTCCTTCCACATACCCCTCACCAACTTGACGTTTCTACAGGCATTTCCAATCAAAGCCAAGTCATTTTGATGCATCTTTCCTGAAAGATCTGCTTCTGCTGTAGTTTAAGCTGACCAAAGTCTGGATTGTGTCATCCAACCCACTCTGCTTTTCTCTGGATATGCTCCCTCAACTGTTTTTTTTGTCAAGCCAGGCAAACGGTGGTGCTTCTAGATGTGGAGAGGCGTCAGAAAAGCCCCATATGGCTTCTGTAGGCTCTGTCAGCTGCAGGGAGTGTACCTTAAGGTAGTTCAGATTCCCCATCATTTACCCACTCCAAAGTCAGGTCCTTCCTTGCAGGTTTGCTTCTCTTAAGATAATGCGTGAGCCCCTTTTCAAGCAGCCTTCATATCCTTCTTCAATTGCATTAAACAGTCACGTTGAATATTTTGGTATCTTCCTCCAGTTTTGCACGATTATAGATTATCTTATTCTCTTTTGTATGTATGGCTGAGCTATTCCTCCTTTAACATAATAGAAATGAGTTTTCTGCTGTTTCTGCCAGACCAGGACAAACAAATCCATTCAGACCTCTTGTATATCCTTTATAATATCCTCATTGCTAAAGAAATAAAACTATGTATTATAGATCCTATCCTTTAATCTCATTGAATTATTGAGACTACCTGTTTAATTGAAGGACTCCTTTTATTGTTAAGAACTTGCTGTCTGAGCCCTGAAGGGGAAAACTTTCATCCTTCAGGTGCATGCAAGCATTATAGAGAGGCGTTTTTAGTGCTACTTTAAATCAAAGGTAATTAATGTTCATTTGTTTTATCGTTAATATTTATGTGGTTGTGTTGCTGCTGTGGGTACCAGAATTGGGCAGATGGTAGGAACATGTTAGCCATACTGTCAGGTTTTTTGTTCCTGTGGTTCGGCACTCTATCAGAAATGCCTTTTATATAAAACCTGTGGCTGCACCTTTATACTATTGACCTCCTCTGATCTGTACAAGAGCAGGTTGTTGCTATATCATGTTACACTTGCTGCATGGCATCTCTTTTCCTGCCCATTTCAAGTTTACTGGAGCACGGGTTTTTGATCTTTGTAGTACAGATGAAGTAACTCATTCTTTTCCTTGTGTCCTAGTTTAGACTTGGATCGCTGAAGCTACAGAAAGTTTCGAGTCCAGCGGAGGTGGTTAAAGAGCTGATTGGTTACTGTCTGGACTGCTTGGGAAGACTGCAGGCAAAAACTGAGCATCTGCAAAAAGAAAATGAAAGACTTTTCAACGGCTGGAGTGATGTGGAGAAGCGGTGAGTGTAAAAGTGCATTCACAGGTTGTACTTGAGAAACTCACAAATACTAACACTGTCAGTGCAGGCTTTACTGATGGTGGGCACGTCTGAAGTCATATACAGAAAGAAGCACACAAATTTTTTTTCTCTTGACAAGTGTTTTGAGCCCATGTAGCTGTGGATCTCCTTCCTATATCAAAGATACAACTGGTATCACAAACTTTGCAAGTAAAGCTGGTTTTAGCTTTATGAAGTAGAAAAAAATCCCTACCTCTTTTCTGTCAACTCCTCTCCATTTGCTTCAGGAAGCCTTTTTCTTTCCATTATTTCCTATAATTCTTAGGACTAGCAGTTGAAATTATTTACGTTTTTGAGTGAGAAATAAATTGCCATTGCTTTAATCTGTTTGCCTTGTCAAAACAGCCAGAATTGGAAAATAAGTGTGTTGTTATAGGAAAAAGTACTATTATTTGCGAGAAATTTTTATAATTGCCATTGCATTTGTGGTCTGAATTGTCTGCCACG